CCCAGGGACCGCCCGAATAGGACAACACGTCCGTTGTTAGATGGATGGATGGATGGATGGGCGGTTTTCAATCTTGCATTTCACCGAAGAGTCAAACGAGGCCCAGCCTTGATACAAACTCTCTTTTGATTATGTGAGTCTCGCGATGCTCGAATGTTTTGCCTTTCTGCGTTGCGCAGCATTCGCCGACAGCCTGCTTGTCCGTCGCCGAAACTTGTTGTAACTTGTTTCTTGTTCCTCTTTGTGTGGGCATGGCATCAGAACCGTGCTGCGACTGCTTCCGCTGCTGCTGCTGCTGCTGCCCCCATGGCCATGTATCGTCAACTTGCTGGGTTGGACATTATTCAGTTCACATTGCCGGCCGGGTCACGGCAATGCAATGCGGCTGGGTAGTTGGCAAAAGCCCAGCAAAGCAATCTACTCCCCATTTACCGCCACAACTTGCTTTCGGTCGTTGACCGAGGAGCCCCATTTTGCGATCATCAGCGCCTCATACCCCAGAGTAACCCAGGCCCCATCATCTGTGGCGTTACAACGAAGCAACACCGGGCAAGGAACCCCGACATTGCGGGTTTTTGCTTGTCCACTACCACAGCAAGTGTAAACTCTGTTGGAAGAAAGAAACTTGAACTTCTGAAGCTACCCCAATATTTTCTGTTACCTTTTCCATACCCAACTTACGTACTTCCCGCATCCACAGCGAGAACAATGGCAAGAAAGCCAGCGAGCGAGGCAGAAGGCTAGGGTCGCAGAAACTCTCTTTGTTCCATTGTGGGATCATCACCCATGGGATTCTAGTGTCCGGCCCGTCACTTTTGACATTTGCCCATCTCTATTTGCGTTCACCCGGACCCTGAAGAACTTCCCTGGCACCTGCTCTCGTGACTCTGGCCATTACGCAAAGTCTACGCGCTGGGAGCTCTCTGTTGCGTTGGAGGATTGGCCCTCGGTCGTAACCTGGAGTTGTAGGATCGACGGAGCTCGTCCTGTCTAGCCCTGTCACTGACCCCCGTCGCCTCGTCCCTCCGCCTGCCTCTCAAAATCAAACCGAGACCCGTTCAAGGCTTGTACAGACCCCCGCCCACTGCTAGCGAAAATCCCACTTTTGCACAATATGCCCAGGGCCATGAGTAGTCAGAGGTCAAGAAGCGGCCAGCGGAGAATGGGCAATCAGAAAGTCTTGGCTTTCTATTACGAAACATCGAAACCCTTACTACACTAGTCGACATCTCCGTGGTCTGCCAAGCTAAGGCAGAGTAAGGTTTGGGACGATTTCGCCAAGAGCCCACGCCGCGGTAGCAGAGATAATACGCTACGAGCGAGCTACGAGGCCTTGCGAGCACATCGGACTTATTACACTGGCGAGGAAAGGGGGTACGTACATCGCGTCGAGCCCGCCTGATCCCCCCTTCCCTTCCCTTCCCTTCCCGGAGCGGCTCACGATCTCTGATCTAGCCGACGTCTCGGGCCCCGCAAAGTACCATAGGCCCGCGCTCTCCTTAGATGACAAGAGACGCGCACGCGCCTCACGGGGAGATTTTGGGTGGGAAAATCCAGCCGAAGATTTGGCTCGGTAGAATTTCCTCCAGTCATGCTTTAACATTCAAGCCACATCCGTTGAGTTTTGTCTAGTAGTGAGCCCGTTAAAAGTCAGCCTCTCGTAAAGCCATAAGCTGTCAAGCGCCTGACAACGTTGCCCGGATAAGGCCCAGCTTGCGGAAAGGCTGAACAATCCCAGGGCTGAAGAAAATGGAAGTCTACATGGAAGATCTAAATTATAGCTCAGCCGTGCGTTACGTCCGTAAGTCCGCCACGCCATCAAGCCATAGTCCCACGGCGCCATAGTCCCACGGCGCCATACTCTATTCCCGGGCTAGAAGGGGGAGAAGGGGGCGATGGCTTCGCGCCGGCGCCACGCCAACGCCACGCTACCGTTCAGACGGCAGATGCGAATCCCGTTGCTTTCTGCTGAAATAATGAGAGGCCATGGGAAAGAGACGGGAATTGCAAGCAATAGCCAGAAATGAACACCGGGGCGGTCGAGATTGGCCGTCGTGAAACAAGTCGTGACGGTCTTACAACTGAGCGTCGGTCGCTCATCAACGGAGATGTGCCCCAGTTGGGAAAATGCTAGTCGCTCCTCCGAAAGGTAAAACGGGCATCACGGCTTTGAAGGAGCGGCATCAACGACAATCACAAGTTGGTGCCTGGCTAGCGGGTTGGAAGGGATGGACGACGATTAATGGGCTGGCAGGTCGGGCCGGGCCAAGGACGAGCTGTCCCGTGTGGCCAGGGCAAGATGTGTGTGTGTGTGTGTGTGTGTGTGTGTGTGTGTGTGTGTGTGTGTGTGTGTGTGTGTGTGTGTGTGTGCGCGTATGTGTATGCATAGGCGTGTGTGTGATGGATGCGATGTGATAATACAACACACTTCGTCTGCCGCCGCGGAACGTCCGTCTTTCAGAGTTTGTTTCTGAATGAGTGGGTTCTCCGGACCCGGTAGTGGATCGGTCATCATCCTGTTCTTGTTGGCGGTGTTCCCAGGACCTGTGCCTCACGGCGCTCGCCTTGCCTTGCCATTCGAGCTCCGGGACTGTCAGGCACGGAACGGAAGACGTCTTGGCGACTCACGGTGATATGGGGAAGAGGGATGGGGCTGGTGAGGCAAGCCGAGCTGGGGTCCGCCAACAACATACGAGGCCTTCACCCGGCCGAGCGACCGGTGTACTCTCCGATGCCAGGTTGGCGGAAAGTCCGCGCTAGAGCTAGGTCTGTGGTACTTCGGAGTAATTAACGTACCCAGGCAAAAAGACTGAGCACTGGGCAGTACCTAGTCATGAGAGAGTAAGAGACAGATAGCTTCCAAGGGGACAGTGAAGAAAATGGGCGGCACAGGGGCCAAGTTCAGATCCCGAAGATGCTGGGGGGTCCCTAGGGACTGCGGATGGAAGGAAAACAGAGTTTTGGTCCAAAACTTAGACAGCTTGTGTGGCTTCCACATGGTTATCATTTTTGGAAACCCCATCTCACTCATAGCTGACAACGTCTGACGAAAAAGTCAGAAAGAAGGGTTCTGCTCCGTGGAAAATCGGGTCGAGTCAGGATTCGACGGTCCACCGGTTCCCACCAGTTCCACAGGTTGGACGTGCTGCCCTGGTTCTCATTCTAGAAGACCGAGAACTTTAAACAATGGGTAATGACAGGGGTAAAATGTGCTTGTGTGGGTTGAGAACGAGCCGTGAGGGTCTCGCTGATCATGCAGACGCCTGACAAACGGGACACACCAACAGTGACAACTCCATCTGCGTACGGATACTGCGTATGCGTTTGCGTATGGCGGCACGAGAGTCCTACACACTCAAGGGAAGCTGTGGATGCTTCCCGTTTGAGGTACACGGTCAGGGCCCGGTCAACCCGCGGTGAAGCGGTCGCCAGAACCCACCTCCCAACTCCATTGTTCCGTCATACACGGTGTAATACCAAACCTTCACGTCCACTTTGTTTAGTGAGAGTGGACATGACCGTCCGTTGTTGTTGTCGTCGGCCAGCTCCTACCGTACCGCACTCCTCTCCCTCGTCCTCGTCCCGAGACCCACGGGGCCTCCGAGTGGGGAGGCGAGTCGCGGAAAGGAAGGGCAAAGCGAGAGGACGGCACACCATCGCCCTCCCGTGGCATCGTTCCGCACTCTCAGACTCCAGAGTCCAGAGGCCCTCGAGGGTCTGGACTGCCCCCATGCACTTCGGGAGATTGTGGGCGGGTCAGCCTGGACGGGGGAAGGCACATCGTCGTTCCCCTCTGCCTCGACACGGACTCGTTTTGTCGCGTGGCTATTACCAGCCCCGTCTACTATCGTGAGCCCCCTTTGGTCGGCCACATTCCGTTGCCCACTCCTACCACCACCACCGCCTTCGGTTCATGTGGTGGGCGCACACCGGAGCTGCGTCACCTGTATCGATCTGGACATCACGGCCGGCCGGGAATCCCCTCACGGCGTCAGCTCGGTGGCCTCGCGCCGCAGCCAGGCCGTAGTTCTAACATTCTCCATCTGTTTGTCACGGACCTGAGCGCAAAAGCCGACAGTAGCACGGCAGGAGCACAAAGCTCGCTCCACCACTAGATCGCGATCTCTTGGGAACCCTGAGTTGAGCATGATTCTCGAAGGCCGGAAGAACATCGCTAGCGCGGTTTGCAACACTGCGCTTGGACAGCGCTGTCTCTCGTCTGCCCAGTGCCTCTGTTCCGGCCTGAACACGAGCACCCTTCATCCGTTCCGGTCTCCACGGCCCAGGGCCCTCATCGGGCCGCTGGCTTTCGGGCATGACGTTTGGGAACAAAAGATGGGCAAAACCTTCGACCTCCCACACGCTCGGGAGTTACGGCTCCTTGGCTGCCCCAGCCAAGTCCGCAATGCATACCGCCAGCAAACACAAATAAGTCCATCCGTTGGTCAAATTGCCGCGCAGTTCCGGTAGCACTTTTGAATCGAGAGTAAAATTCTATCAGGCCAAGCCAAGTACATGTATTATACACACAAAACCGCACAGAGTTTGCGAGTCTCTTGGTTGCGGGATGACAATGCTGAATGCTGGTCTATGGTTGAGTGGATCTATAAGCCGTCAATATCAAAGTAGGGCCGATCTGGCCGTCAATCCCGAGAAAAACACGAGCGAGTGTGTCGCCCGTTGATAGGCAATACATGATTAAAGGGGGAGCTGGAGGAGCACGGCATCCCAGGGCCCTTCCGACCCGCCGGGCAAGAGTGGAGGTGTGGTGACGGAGTTACGGTCCCATTTTACGGCCGGTTTATTTGCTCCGCCGTTTGCCGATCTGCCATCCCCATGATCTGAGCACTTTGACAACTTTTGGTGTTACCGCTGCAGTCAGAGGGACTCGGAGGAAAATGAAACTTTTGTGGATTGCGTACGCCAACGCAAGTTGAGTTCCCAGGCCTGCAACAACGCAAATTGGTGAGTTGTTCCGTCTCGTCTGCCAAAAGAGGGTCTCAAAGCATCAAGGGGACGAGGTGCATGAACTTACTGGCTTCTGCCCGGTTGCGCTCCTGGGCTTCTTCCACTCCCCAGCCTGCCATTTCGACAGCCTCGCTGACATCGTTGCTGCCAAGCTGCTGAGTCTCGGCCTTGGTAAGCGCCGCTCTGTACTCATGCCACCAAGTCTTGACCGACTCAGGTATGATTTGCTTGATATGGGATGTTACCCAGTGCTCGAGCTGGCCTATGGTTAACGTTGTCAGTATAGCGGATCCAACACAACTGCAGTTGCTTTTTCGCTCACCAATTCTGTCTGTGCCAACAACCCGGACGAGCAAAAAGCAGAAGGGAAAGTCAAGGACGCTCAAGGCCAAATACACTCCCACCGCCGACCAACCGTACTCCTTGGAAAGTTTCTTCAGCCTCTGACTTAGTGACAGCGATTCCTGGGCGGGTTTCCCGTCCGCAGTATTCCTCTGTCTGGCGGAAAAACGAAATGTCCGGCGCGAGGCTCGGGACACGATCTGCAAACGAGCTGCAATCCAACTCCAGCTGTTTATTTGGGCGCGACGAGTCGTGGACTGTGATGCGCCCGTCCTCGTTCCTCCAGCGCGCGAGGGCGTTGTCGTGAGCGGGCGTCTAGGCGACGTGAACTGCCTCCTCCATACTGCCTCCCAAGCATTTTGTCTTGCTGTCGGCATGGCGCGGCGCGGTATGGCCGCGACCTGCTGGAAGGCTGGTCGCATCATGGTGTTGAGCAGTGGTGATAGTGACGCCACCTGATGCTTAGCACAAGATTTGTTGCTTCTGGTAGGTAGGAGGTGCGGGCGGACAGGCTCGAGTCAAGGGTGAGGGCGGTGGTCGAGACTCCGGAATATCGATGGTGAGGCGCCGAGCTCGATTGCGTTGCAGAGTTTGTGGAATTAGTGTTGGGAGCTTGTGGTGGCCTGGTGAGAGCTTGAGGTCCGAATCGCCGTAAACTCCGGAGTGGGATTGATTGCGAGTACTGATGCGCAAAACCGTATTGCACCGGATGCTTCCGAAGGTTCCTCGCGGGGCTGGAGCGATGAATTCAATCTGCCCACAGGCCGGGTGATTCGGATTGATGAGTGCCCAGTGTTGGTTGAGTGGCGTGCGTCCCGTGGAAGCCACGTTTATTCGCCTCGCTTCTTTGACCGTCGATTTGGGGAAAAATTCTGTCGAGAATGGAGCTCTTCCGACGAACTCCTAGCTCCGGCGGCGTCGTGGGTACCTCTCGCTGGTTAGGATAGGACGGAATCTCACGGAACATGCCGTGTCTGCTGTGACCCCATGGCCACGTGATACGTCCATCACGGAAGAGGAAGCCGCCGATGCCGACTACATTCCTTCCATTTCATTAGGTCAGCCATCCGTACGAAAAGCTACGACACTGAAATGTAGGCGGGGTCCATCTGACCCCAGCTGTCGTCCTGGGTCGGATATTACCTCAGCCGCGAGGGGTAGCTGCTGACATAATGTGGGGTCCTGCGCAGCTGGTGCTTACACCCCTGTCCGATGTTCACCTCCCGTGTTGGTGCTCGTGCCACATACGCACACTATTACACTTTCCACCCCCACAGCAACTTTACGCCCATTACGCACCACTACGACGTCTTCGAGCTACCTGACACCAGACAACTTTCCCACCAACTAGATGCTTCATTGTTTCACACAGACCAGTCCGTCCATCAGACTTGCTGCGCCCAGCCTTTCTGCAATAGCAGTGAATCACTAATTCGCAATCAAATTATTAAGGTGTTGACAAGCGCCGCGCTTTGGTTTTGGCCTCGGATTCGCATCAATATGCGAGCACCCACTGAGTTAAAGTGCCACGGCGCTGTGAGTTGGGTTTCCGTTTATTGCCCAGAGTCTGAGTCTGAGTCTGAGTCTGCGTGGAAAACTAATTTGGTCACCTATTTCCCTCAGGATCTCTCCGGTGCCCCACGATCTCCTCCGGGTTGAGGGTTTGTGTTGGAAAGACCCAGGGCCCAGGGCTACGAGCAGGGGCTCCCACTTGGGAAGCTCCTCGATGGCTTAAGCTCCGTGACACCTCGGAGCTTCACCTGGTCGGTTGCACTGCCCTCCGTCCAAAGCTTCCCATGCGTTGCTTGAAGCAGGACCTTTTTGGTCATGTAAGCTTCGGTCTACCACCATTCATCCCGTCCATTGCCACGATGTGGTATTCGGTGAGCCTGCTTAGGTGTTGATGGTATTACTCCAGGAGGCAACCCAACAGAACGACGAGGCAAACTCTGTCGAAGTCAATGCCATCACGACTGTCAACTTTCAGGTTTTGGGCCAAACTTTAGGAAACAAAATCGCGATGCAGTGTCACGGTTGTCCGGCAAACAAGAATGTCGGAGGTAGTCCGAGGATTTTCCAGGTGGACATTCGTCGGATTTAGGTCCGATCAGCATTGCCAATGGCACCCCAGCTTCTCCGTGGAGTTCAAACATGACTGTGTCATTGGGCTCCAGGTTCAAGCTCCAGCCTCTCCCTAGCTCCTACTCCAGCTACAGGCTGCAGTTCTCAGTGCCCAGATCCTCCAGCCGCCCGACCGGCCGCATTCCCGTCCTCGAGAGCCGGCCGGACGACACGACGAGTGGAGTCCTACCGGCCATGCCGGCTGAGGGTCATTTTGGCCTTCAGAAGTCTCTTATATCACCATGGCGAACTCTGTCAATTGAATCGAGTTTGGAAGGTTAAACGTTTCAGTTCAGCCTTGTTGACCGCTTCGAGTACAACCAAAGTTTGCAGGCGACAGGTGATCACGGTGATCTCTCCGCCTAGGCAGGGTAATTGGAGGATATCAATAGCGCAAACTCTCTCTCAGGGACCCTTCAACCCCGTCCAGGTCCCGGTAGAGCGCTTGCGACGACCGTGCGGGGGCCCGGCAGGCAATGGGAAGGGACTTATGACGACAAGGTTTGCGATACAAGTACGAGTGCGGTGTCGTCAGGGATGCAAAAGTCAAAATCCCACCAACGACTCCGCCGGGCTGAAAGGTTGGTATACTCTCGTGATTTCTACATTACTCACTGCTTACTTTTCGGCCATTCGCCGCGCAGGACAACGTGTTGTTGGTTGGTAGTAAATTAAGGCCACGCCTTGCACGACTCTGGCCCTTGGCTCTGGGCCCCTCCACCGAGCTCCTCCGAAGCGGAAGCGTGCACTTCGGGTCCGGCTCGCGGTTCGCCGCTCTCTGGAGTCTGGATATCTGGGTCCCCTGATGCAATGCCACCCCACTACGGATAATTTGCTTGGCGCCAAACCTGGATCGGATACAGGTATCCTGGTGGTCGTTGACTGGTTGAAGTGCAGATATTGGGGGTGAATCTATCGCAGATCGGTGTGGGGGGGTGTGCGCGTGCTGTTGGAGAGAGTGTGTCTCTAAGCCTGTCTGCCTCTCCACCCACACACACATCGCTGCAGAGAATGGACGTTGTCTGTGTCTGCAGTGACTTGCAGGTTGCGGGATGTTGCTGCTGATGACACAGGCACACACAACTCTCACAGTAGTTCGGATGGTTTTAATTCTTGTGAGCTTCCTTAGCCACCGCTTCGAATTCTTCGCGTGGCCATCGCGGCTAATGCGGGATCAGGTTCCTAATAGGCTTTTTCTCGAATCTTTCCATCTTCGTCTCCGTGTCCGAAGGCCTCCAACAGCCATCGCCTTCACCGAGGCTCTCGAAGTTTAACTGTTGCCGGACACAATGCCTTGGCATAAACTGTCATGAGCCCACCAGCGGCACGTTTTGCGAATTATTGCCCTTTTTCAACCTAACGCAACAACATGCTGGATATTTCTCGTCTCTTCCCCATGCGCAACATCGTTGTAGCGGTCCACTTGGTGGCGGGTATCGTGCATCGTATTCGATACTTTTGGGATAAGTACACTGCCTCCCCGCTCGTTCTCGATCCATGATTCCACATGGGCTGCGAAAGATGCCGGCCGGATAGCGCTTCCAGTCGGGGTTGGACTGCAAAGCCCTGGCGCGGTTGGAGCGCGGTTGGGTCCCCTGGGCAAGAGATTGCCCCGCTGGATGATGGTAACGTTGGCGAAATATCGTCACTGTTAATGAAGCGTATTGACATAAGCAGCGCGGTCTTGAGCCTCGTTCTTGAGTCAGGGAGAGCGGTTCGCAAGGGGTCTTTTTCGTCAAGCGCTCTAGCGGCTCATTCCGCGGTGAGAATGGGGGCCAGTAATAACCGCCAAGCTCCCCAAGTTCCAAGCAACAAAAGAAAAGACCCGCCGTTTGTTACGTGTCGAAACGGTCCACTATTGAAAGTCCCAATTTCTACTAATACTGGGCAACCCGACGTCAAGAGTTGAATCAGCAACATGGGACCAGTTCAGACATGGCCCCCCATCACCCCCATACCACAGCTAGCCACATTGCCGAGGGAATCCCGAGCACGTTGTTGCTCAAGGAAGACCTGCTCCTGAAAGGCATGATGTTTACCAAAGTGCTGTCTATCTGTCTGTCTCTACGGGCAGGCGACTCGAACTTACTTTGCCTTTTGACATCTGACTCGTTTCACGGGAACGGCTCAATCTGGTAGGCTTCTAGAAGCGTGGCGGGTTGTTTCAGGTAATTCTCGCTGACAAAGAGGCGAAGACCGAGACTCGAAATCGCGAACAAAGAGGCGGCTCCGTGGAAAGGGGATCCCTTGGTGAGTGGAGCGGCGGAGGTCCCAGATAGGCAGTCCGATGTCTGGATGGTTTTGCTTTTTTCGTCTTTAAAGTTTTTCTGCCTTTCCGTAATCGTACCACGGCAAGGCAAGAATGGCATTTGCGGTGAGCGAAGACAGTTTGTTTCATGTCACTCACATACTTGGACTCATGTTTTTCTGCCCAGATGTGGCGTCAATGACAGCGATGATGGGATGTTGTCTGCTGCCCGCGAATCCACGATTCGCAGGTGGCCGCTGGCGGACCGGGCGGGACGAATCCCGGGATCGATCCCCACCACTCCGTGTAAGTTGGTGGTGGTGTGCGAAGAGAAGATGTGTGGACGGAGACAGGCAACTCAAGCCACCACCACCACGAGAGCAGAGAGAGTGTGTCTGTCTGTCTGCCCGGCCGTTGCTCACCCGTGTGCTACCACGTGCAGCGACATATCCTAACTGACGTATGCAGGTAGGGCCATGACATGTAGATAGACCGACCTCATGACACGTCGTGAGAGTGGCATCTACCCTTCTAGCTACGTTGCACCCCTCACGCAAACTCAAAATTGCGGTTCGCGTATCGGGTGGTGACGATACCGTCCCTTTCTGCTACGGCTGGCAAGAGGTCCCCTAAATTCGAAGAGCCTTGCTCCCAGTCCGCAAGGTGAACAAGCTTTCGATTTAATCAAATCAGCGCTTTTTTGCCCCAGTACAGTAACTTTCTGCCTTTTTTTTTTCGTTCATTCTCCTCTCACCCCCCTTGCCAAGATCTTTAATGAATATCATTGGAGTACTTTGCTTTCGATTGAGTTGACCCTTTGCCTGGTTTTATTGAATCATCTGGTGATGGAGAAATGTCTCGTCCCGCGCCTCGAATTTCCCTGGTCTCGAGGAAGATGGACGTGGAGTTACAGTTCCACAAAACTCCATGATGGCAGTTAAAATGTCGCCTGCCAACCTTTTCCCATGGCTTGACAGACACCTACATGATTATGACGAAACCATTACCTCTTTGGGTAGGTTCGCCTGGAGCTATCGTCGTGGTTTGGTATCGGGA